CCGGCGTGAGTTTTAAGCCACCGGGTCCAGGACGCGAACCGCGGTCGACTACGTGGGAGTCCAGCGACATAGCCATTACGCTAACTGCTGGTTCCCTCCAGGGTGGTTTTGACGTGGCATGGCATAGCACACAGGAAAGTAGACATGACCCTGCGTGCACTTACTTGTTTTATTTTGGTCATAGTTTTCTGGAGGGCCTCAGAAAGAAACTACAGCTGGTGGTTTCTACTTCACTTCTTAATGACCCTCAAACCAGTCTGCCTGGCCTTAAGAGTGCGCTCGGTTCCCTCCTGTTTTTGTATCCAGTTCTGATGGTCCCTGATTGGTGGGTGAAGTGTCCACTAGTGTTAGATAAATGGAAAGCTAGAGCAGTGCTGCTATCCTGGAGGAGGCATATGTCCCCAGCCATTTTGGTTATACCTGGAGTTTTTATAAAACACTGAGAGTGATGGGGGCGTGTATTACCCACGTAAGTGGTGAGGAGGCAGGAAAAAAGTTGAACTCTACTGAACCAGTGAGTAGTAAGCCAGGGTAGTTTAAATTGTGAAAAAAAAAAGAAGGAAAAAACAAAAGGCATTCTGACTCCCCTGTCCTAGACATGACCTCCCCTGCCCCGCCAATGCGGTTGCTGAAAGTGTAATGTTTTAACATAATGATTTACTTATTTTTATTATTATATATTTTTTAATTTGCTGTAGGGCACATGCACTCACCAGAGAGACAGAAAGAGAAGAGGAAAGTGAGAAAGCAAGCCATCAGGTTGAGGAGTCAAACCGTAGTTGACCATATGGGAATCCAGCGCCTTAACCACAATGAACTCCCTGAGAGTTCTAGAAAAATGTCACAATATTCTGTTACACGAAGTTATTTATCAAAAGATTTCTAAATCTAGACTCTCCTATAAATTTACAAGGGAGTATTTTATAATAATCTCTCCTACCCACATTCTATTTCCATTCCAACTGATTTTGTTCTAATTGCACAATCATTATAACTAATGCAAATAACAAAAAGCTTAGTGTTTTGATTATTTTATGTTCTCTATATTACTGTCTTTTTTTGTTTTTATAATTTAAGAAATCTTACATGACTAGAATATACATTTGAAAAATGCAGGAGACCATAAGTAAAAACAAATAACCATCATTTGTTTTAAAAATAGTTATATGAGAGGATAGAGAAAGATAGCAAGAGAACAATAGAGAGGCAGGACGTTAGTGAGAAACAGATATGGCTTATTACCTGTTGGTGATGACATGTATAGTATTCTCAACTGGATTGGTCTGAGAAGTATTTCATGATGGGTAAAGTCTTTTTACAAGCAAAATGAGAAATAGTGATTGACTGTTTTAAAAA